TCTCTGTGGCAGCCTCCTGTCTCTTGGACTCCGGAATATCTTGGCTAGAAATCATGAGAGCCCCTATACTGCCAGTCTCTCTGTGCTTTGACAAATGCCAGTTCGATCACAGGAATCTTCAGTTCACGCTTGCAAATACAGGAGATGTGGGCCTCGGATTTACAGTCACGATCGCATCCAAACTCAGGACAGAGAACAATTGGGCACTTGCAAGTAATTATGTCAAATAACTGGTCCAGTTGTTGCAAAGCTGTCCTAACTGCAAGTTTTCCTCTCCCAAGAGAGATATCTCTTGCCTTTTCCCAACTGGCTAGCAGTCTCTCACTAATCTTCTTCTGACTTGTTATGACTGGAGGCTTGAACTGAGCGTTAGCCAGAGTGTACTGTGCCAAGACAGCTTTGGTCATATCACTGGCAATGTCTTTGTTTGTGTAAGTTCTTTGGTTCTTTTCACTGATTTGCCTGATTAAAACACCGTATCTCAAAGCATCTCTCAATGTAGGCAACTCCGACTTCAGGAGCTCTCTCCCAGACCCAAGATAGTGACTGAGATGGCTGGATTTTTGGTTCCTCGTTCTGACACAAGCAGCCATCGCAAATATTATCAACTTATAAATGCATCAGAATCTGAAACAGAAAAAAATATTATTAGTTGGGTTGTTAAAGAATGAAGTCAGAAAGCAATGTTCACTATTTAATTGTAATGCACTAATGCAGCTGAACGTTAGATTTTCGATAAATTTCACGCTAAAATTTACCTAGCAAAAGGTTGCAAAATAATGAAACTGAAATTATTTTCTGTTTATATACACTAAAATCTACCAAAAAAGTGATGGGCCATTAGTTTTAGCTGATCTTCCCTCCTATGACACACCCTAATGGTCGTGGTTGTTATAATCATAGTCGTGGTTGTTATAATTATGGTCGTGGTTGTTATAATCAATATCGTGGTTGTTATAATCATGGTCGTGGTTATAATCATGGTCGTGGTTGTTATAATCATGGTCGGGGTTGTTATAATCATGGTCGTGGTCGTGATACTTACAGCATCTAATATACTATAAGAAGGAATAGAATAAAGGTTAGAATAATTAGTTAAAGAAATATTCGCCATAAGGAGAGGTTAAAATAATAATAAAAAATTCTTATGAATCATGGATGATCATTCCGAGATAAATTATATTATGAGGAGAAGTGACCTTGATTCTGGTTATATTAGTCACCATCTGCTTAAGTCATCACCTGTGTTAAGTCATCATAGTCATCATCTACGTTAGTCAGTTTTAGGCCCATCTCACATGACTGACCGACCATCGATGTTCTTTCCGTGCGAGGGTGTTAGTTTTCAATGTGTCTTATTATTTACGCTGGTGGATGCAAGACCTCCTACCCTCACTGACGCAGCTATGGTCAATTTGGTGTTATTCTTGTTTATAAATGCCATCTAATCTGTCTCAAGTCTATCCGTCCTGTCTATTGCCATACCAACTGTCTGTTCGTCTGCGTGGTGTTTGACTGTAAGCCCGTCTGTACTCTTTGTGTCGTCAAATCTGTCTGTCTTTTCCGTTGTTGGCGTGTGTCTGCCTGTTTTTGTCTGATGTGAACCAGTCAGTCAGCTGTCTGTCTGTCATGTTAGTTGCCATATTGTCTATTTGTGCATGTATGAATCTGTCTATTTTTGTCAACCTCCTGTCTGTTTCACTGTCTATATTCACCCTGTGTCTATTGTAGTCATCTTCTCCATGCAATCCTGTTATTATCATTTTATCTCTTCTCCTTTTCCATGTGCAGTCACCCACAGGAATAAGTATACACTGTATCTGTAAGGTCGTCTGGTAACGTTGAAACTGCGCGTCCAGACGCATGATGAAACTCAGCTCCCCCTCACCTGTTATCTCTAACTCTTTTCTGTTTCCCCTTCTTTATTCTTCTATTTACTCATCTTCCTTCCTTTACTTATCCAAACAACATTAAAAAAAAGTAGGCTAAGAAAAAAAGTGGGGGGAGGAGGAGGGAGCAGTACGATAACTGCAATTGTGGGCTGACAGCTTACAGCGAATGAGGGTGCGCCAAGTCCATAGACTTGCATCGTTTTCCATCGTAAATAAAATGGTTAATTAATGGCTTCCTAAAGAAACCATCGATATGGGACCAGGTTTGTTCCACTCTACGAATTTTTTTGCGATTTTTCCACCAAGTTTGATGAAAAACGATTGTGCTGTTTTGGCTGTCCAGAACAGACACACACACACACAAACAGACACACGCCTAGTCCTATAGTATCTTAGATAAGAGTGCGGCGGTCGATTGGATACAGAGTGCTCCTACTGTTCCATTGTTGGTGGTTCGAGCACTCCCAGTTCACCCTGCTGTAAATGGGTACCGAGGTTTATAACTTGGGGAAGTGAATGGGGTTACGTGCAGTACCGGCCATGATACCTCCTTGTGGAACAAAGATATAGCATTCAGTGTGTTGTATCCACACTCTCCGTGATGGGCAGTCATGGCAATTGGATGGTACCCACTTCCTTTCAGTGAATACATATACAAAAAAAAATTAATCTTTTGTTATTATATTCAAAGTGGTCACTTTCTACCCTGTTATAGTAACCTTGAGATAGACATCTTCCACGCAGTAAAGTATTGAGTACTTTCGAGTAAATTTGCCTTATTTAATATTTGTCTAAGGTTATAGAACATCAGCTGTTGACTCATCTTATGCTTCGAATACTGTTATGTCAATGCTTTGGACTTCTGAATATGAATCGTTGATGTATCCTGTCATAAATATTCGACCTTATTGCAGTATAAAGCAACAGATATTGATCAGGAAAAAATATTTTATATTAAAGTTAACGGAATAGTTTTGAATGATGAATTCACCAGCAACATTACAATCCCACAGTTTAGTTGGGTCGCTTGGAGAAATTATCATGACATGACAGGTAAGTGCTCAATTTTTTTTATAGAATTTCTATAGGCCTTACTTAATAATTTTAGCTTAACAGCCCTCTTAGATTTCTCCCAAAATTCTTGTGGTACACAAAAAATCCAATATGGCAACCAATTCTAAGTTCTCTTCCAAAATTTTGTATGTCAGAGTAATAATTTATATATTTTTTTGTGTATATGCTTTGTACCCGTTTTTTTTTTCATAGGTGAGGATTAAACTAGTTCAATATAGGAATAAAAAAGACCATTAAACATGCTGCTGGGGTATAATAGTAAATCTGACGGATGATTATTATCTTTTTGTCTACATTGTTGTACTTCATTTTACTGACAGCTGCAAATGCGTGAAGGACTGAGTGGTAGAGACAACTCGAAACTTGGAAAATATTAGCAAGAAACACTACCACCACTTTGTCAAGATTGCAGTAGAGAATCGGTGCAGTTCCATGCATGAGCCAATCAGGAAAAAATCCCTGTCATCCGTCAAGATTGCTTCAAGGCATGGAAAAAGATTTGAGAGTTCCGGGACAATATAAAACTCTTCGGGCATAGAGTTTCCATGAAATACACTCATACCCACCTTCGCCCCGAACTTTGGCAAGCTGCATCTACTAATCGGGAAATCAAAATTGCTACAATGTCTTGAGCAGAATAAACAGCTGAGGCTCCCGTGAATTATGAATGCAAAATCCTGGATGCTGCTATCATTGTTCATTGTCTTCTAAGTTTTGGTGTCAGCAACTTTGAAAAATATGCAGATAAGGTATTTATACCGTAACTCAGTTGTTCTTAACCTGGGAACCATGGTGGGCTGCTATAAGTTGTAATGCTTCAAGAAAATGTGGGGAATTTCTTCAAGTGTCATGAGAGTTTGGAAAAACAGAAACTAGATGAGAGTGGTGCTTTCCATTACCAGTCCTCGAAATAGCAAAGCAAAAGAAGGCCCACACAATTGGTAAAACTTTAATTAAGCCGTGTACTTTAAAGGTGGTCAAGCGGGTTCTTGAAGAGGCAAGTGAACGTAAGATGCAGCAGATTTCCTTATTAAACAACACGGTGAAACGGCGAATCAGTGAAATATCGGAGGATATAAAGGAACAACTGATACAGGAGATTAAATCGTTTCCAGCTAGTATGTTCGCAATACAGCTGGATGAGTCAACGGACGTTAGCTGCTCGTTTGTTACGTATGTTTTCTCGTGAGACATCAAAAATGACTATCTGGTTTGTACACAGCTTAGGACCACCACAATAGCTGTAAATGTGATGGAAAAGCTGTCTTCCTTCTTCGGAGCTAGCTGGATCACATGGGAAAATTGTTGCGGAGTCTGTATGGATGGGGCTCCGGCGATGCTGGGATCGAAATCGGGGTTCCAGAAGCGTGGCAGGGAAGTAACTTCGAATGCCAAAGTGGCTCATTGTACGAACCATCGTTTTGCACTGGTGTCGAGAACCCTCCCTGATGCACTTTGCAAGATCCTGGAGGCAGTGGTTTGATGTGTCAACTGTGTGAAAGCAGGAAATCTGAACTTTCGTCTTTTCCAGAACCTTTGTAGAGACATAGATTCAGAGCATGAAGCCACCTTTTACTCCAAAGTGCGCTGGCTTTCCAAGGGTAATGTTGTGAATCGAGTTTTTGAACTTCGAGGAGAGCTTAAGTTATTCTTGGAAGTGTAAGGGAAGGGTGTTCTCTTAAGTCACTTCAGTGATGTGTTGTGGGAGCCAAGTTTTGCATATCTAGCAGATTTGAGCAGCTAAACAGGCTGAATCTCAAACCACAAGACAAGGAAGGAAAGGTGTTTCACCTCATGGATTGTCTTCGTGAATTTCTTGCCAAGCTCCAGAATTGGTAAAGGAAAGTCAGTACAGGAAATGTTGCCATGTTTGAGAATCTTTCAACTGTTTTTGATGAGATTGAAGAAGATCATCTGCTTGACCCTTCACTCAAAATTGAAATCACTCAGCACTTGAAATCTTTAGAAACCGAAATAAAAATAAACAGCAAATTATGAATGTAATAAACATGAAAGTTGAAATGAACCACTTACCATAAGGGCTCGTCAGGGCAACAACAAAGTCATTCTCCTCTGCACTATGTATAGAGACGAGGTCACCGCCCTTGCTCTGGCAGTCTGACCTTGCATCACTGTAGGTCGCAGACAAGTAAACATAATCCGGGTCATTATACCAGTAGCAGTACTTGTCGAAACCCATCCAGCCATCATCACAGCCAACAACGTGTGCTGGGAGTAAAACGTTGCATTAACAATATTACTTTTAACTAGTTTACAATAAGGAGAATAAATTAGATATATATTTGTATAAGTAACTGTATACATAAGTGTACGTGTGAGTTTTCTATATATTCATAAATAATAGTACAAGTCACTATAAACCATAGTGTAAATTTTCCAACTCACTGGGAAATAACTCGCAGCCAAAAGCCCTTGACTGAGTACAGTCAAGGTTGTTCCATTTGCCATCAGTCATGTCACCAGGATAGTCAATGCACTCCGTACACCATTCATTGTATAAATTATTGGGCTCTCCTCCATTCCAATTGGTATAGTTGTTGACCTGGCTATCACTCCAACTCCATTTTTGGTATGTTGAATTGTAAGTCAGCCCAAGCCATGTGGCTGGACTGCTTTGTGTTAACTGGGCTGTAAGTTTATTGTCGAGGTTAAATATCTTATCTAATACTGTTTTATATATATATATATATATATATATATATATATATATATATATATATATATATATATATATATATATATATATATATATATATATATATATATATATATGCAAGTAAATCACTGTAGTTGCGCGTGATCCAGGTATATGCTGATAACCACAATGAAAGAAGAAAACACGAAGTTCCCGAGCGCTTTCGTGTCATTCACATCTTCAGGGTTGAGTACAGACTAAGGAGAACTACAAAACAAGGTGTATATATACAGAGGAGGGTGAGATCAGGTCCACAATGGTCAGGTATTAGGTAATGACCCTACTAATCTTTAAAAAGCACCGCAACGGTCGGTAGTCAGGTCAGAGGGTAAGGTGACCCAACCTTCTCACCTGGTTACAAATAAGAACATAAGAACATAAGAAAATAAGGAGTCTGCAATAGGCCGGTTGGCCTGTGCATGGCAGCTCCTATCGAGAGTTACTACCACTCTCTATCATCCATGAATCTATCTAGCCTCCTTTTGAAACTTTCCAGAGTTCCAGCACTTACTACAAAGTTGCTAAAACATTCCTCGTCCACCACCCTATTTTAGCCAGACAGTTTCCTTCCTATCTCCTCTAAACCTAAAGCTTATCAACCTTAAATCCGTTGCTCCGGGTCTATCTGCTCAGATATTATAAAGACTTTTATCTATATCCCCCTTATTGATTCGCCACCCACTTAATAAACTTATCATATCTCCACTCTTCTGATAACAAGAGATGCAAGTTAAGTTTCTTTAACCTATCCTGTTATGGAAGGTTCCTAAGTCCCGGAATCATTTGTCATTCTTCCTGCACCGACTCTAGTGAATTGATATCCATTCTACCATAAGGGCACCGCTGAACCGCATAATCGGGCGCGGCCTGACTTACCAGATATAGTTGCAATAAGACCTCTGCACTCTTGTTCTTACTTCTAGATATAAAACCCAATACTCTGTTTGCCATATTTCGAACATTAACGCACTGTTTTCTAGGCCGTAGGTCCGGGCTTACAAGTACCCCTAAGTCTCTTTCACAAGTCGACTTCTCTAGGTTGATGTTGTTAAGGCTGTATACATTATAAGTATTTGTTCTTCCAATATTAAGTACGCTGCACTTGCTGGTGTTGAATTTCATTTGCCATTTTCAGACCACCCCTGCAGTTTATTTAGATCCTCCTGTAATGCATTTGCATCCTGCCTGTGAATCCATCCACTTCCTATTTTGGTGTCATCCGCAAACTTGCTTATGTCACTGTAGTCCCAATATCTAGAATAATTTTTTGTAGATTATATATGGTGAGAATGGGCCTAGTACTGACCCCTGGGGAACCCCACTGGTTACATGACCCCACTCAGATTTAACACCATCTACGCTGACCCTCTGCGTTCTATCGGTGAGCCATGATTTTATCCAATTTAAAACTTTTCCCTCGATACCACGAGCCTTAATTTTTCTCAGAAGCCTCTGATGCGGTACTCTGTCAAATGCTTTGCTAAAGTCTAAGTAAATAACATCGTAATTTTCGTCATTATGTACTACCTCGAAGACTTTCCTAAAAAACGTCAGCAGATTTGTTAGACAAGATTTTTCCTTTGTAAACCCATGTTGAGAGACGTAGATTAATTTGCTTTTCTCTAGATGCGATCAGATGCTAGATGCTATAATTGATTCAAGAAATTTCCCCACAACTGACGTCAAACTGATCGGCCGGTAATTTGAAGCTGATGCTCTGTCTCCTTTTTGAATATGGGTTCTACATTTGCCTGTTTCCACAAGTCTGGCACAACTCCGGTGTCTAATGATTTTTTAGTAGTACAAGGGGGTCCATAATCTAATTTTACTCTTTTAAGACGCCTGTACCGGTATGTTTAATGAGACTAGATTCTATATTTCTGTAATTGAATTTAAAGGTAATAATATCTGTAGAGGCACATTATCCCAAAGTGTGCGATACTTGTACTCCTTCAGATGAAACAAACAGAGCATTGAGTTATATTTATCTGACTTTATATTTTATGTTATTTAAGTCCGTTACAATATCCTTTACCTGTCACAGCCTAAATGCAAAGGAACTTTATAAATGCAACCAATTGTGTTGTTGAGGAGTTCTTGATTAACTTTGTTTTAACAGTGCGAGGACTTTAGTACCCATTGACGTTCCAGGTTTTAGTTGTAAAGAATTTGAAGAAATTTTTGAAATAAAGTAATACTAAAATTCTTATATATGGTCATGGGTGGGCTTGGGATCAGTTCATATAAAAGATTTCTTTTGTAATGTTCGAGGCGTTTTGTCTAACAGAAAGTCTCTAGGAATACATTTAAGCCCAATATTATAGATATATTTATATTCCTCATCGTGTTTTCTTCTTTCTGTATGGTTATCAGCATAACTAACCTTATATATATATATATATATATATATATATATATATATATATATATCCATAATTGTATTTAATTCTATAATAAGAAAATTTTACAATGGTACACCACAATATAATAACATAGCTACGGGTTTCATTTACTAGGTAAATACAGTTTTTTTTAAACCTTCGTTTAATATACTGTTTAGTTGTAATGGACGACTTAGGGTAAGAAACTAGTAGAAATACGTTCCAAGCTGACAATTTTGGCAGCTGAGAAGAAAATGAAGTTATAAAGCTTATGGGGTTGATAAGCTTCCAGTTGGATTTTTCAATTAATAATATTAAATGGTTGAGTAGATATGAATCTTCGTTTAATACAAGAGACACCATTTCAGTGATTTAAGAAGGTCAATATTCCTGCTGTTACCAAAACCCCCAGTAGCCTTAAATTGCAACAAGTTGTGGATAAGTAGCTTAATCAACCCACGTGCATGAACACAGGGACAGTATAATTTTTAATGTAAAATATTCCCATATTATTCAGCAGTAGAATATAATATTGAACTCATAATAATACCCTAAAGCAGCAAAGAAGTGCACGACATATACAGTACTTGTAAAGAAGTTGTTGTCCTCCTCGGAGTGGATGCTAATGAGGTCAGCCTTCGTATTGAATTCTTGGCATTTGTCTCGAGCTTCATGCCATGTTATCTCGTAGTTACTGGCAAAATAGCACTTCCCTTCATGTAGTGTCCAAGTCTGTGGGCAAGTTGCTGGAAGGCGAAATATTGCACATTATATAACAATTTTCTAACATTAAATCTTATTCCAGATTTGAAACATAACCTTTTCGTTAGGACCTTAGAAAAAGATCTAAACTTAAACCATGATTCATTAACAAACTTATTACATCGTCTCAAGTCAACCAGCCAATGTTTTCTTAACGTAATATGTATCTGGTGGTGAGATACATATGTGGGTGTAGTGGTGGGATACATCTGTGGGTGTAGTGGTGAGATACATCTGTGGGTGTAGTGGTGGGATATATCTGTGGGTGTAATGGTGGGATACATCTGAGGGTGTAGTGGTGGGATACATTTGTGGGTGTAGTGGTGGGATGGCACAGACAAGGAGATTGTCTATTCACTGAGATATTGGTGACCGGGCCTCCCTTTACAGAAGCCACTCTAGTCACCCCATACTATAGGGAGCGGGCTAGAAAATGTGTCCAAAACATAGACTGCCAACAACTCTCCTTACTGGGAAATCGCACCTAGTATGGCCATCCACAAAAACAAAAACAAAAATATTAAATTAGAAATAAACTATACAACCTCTTATTATCGCTGCATGGAAGGTTAAGACCCTCTGGATACTGGCACAAGTTAACGCCATTATTATTAAAATTACTTTTATTAAAAAAGGTTATCCTCTTCCTTGTTGATCAAACCTTTCAGTAATTAGCTGTTAAATAAAAAAAAAGCAGAAAGAGTTAAAGTTAAGTTAGATGTCAGTAAATATCCTACCCCTTAGTGACGTTAGAGGTAAGTGACATTTCTAGTGAACAGCAGAAGGTACAGGTTGAGAGCACATATTTATGCCTAGATCTGGAGGTGTTATCTTGAAGAGGCAATGATTGATACATAAAGAATATCTGTCATTGACCAATCTTGATTTTTATACTTGATTCAGCACTGGGTGTCCATTATGTTGAAGATAACTATAATACAGGTTTATTACCGAAACATGATTTACTCGGTTCTTTAGAAGAATCTGAACCATATGAAGCACAGTTTTACTTGCTCATGTCATATCAACAACACCTACCTAGTTCATGTGAACAACAACTGCAGGTGTTATTTTAACAATACCTGTCCAGGTCATAACAACAATACCTCTACAAGTTCAGCTTATGGCAGCAACACCTCAACCTCCTCAGGTCACTCACGTCATGTTGACAATACCTCAACTTGTCAGGGTCAATCCAACAATCTCTCTACCAGACTAAGTCAATTTAGAAACACATCTACCTTTCCAAATCACATAAATCGACAACTATCTGTAATCTCAGTGTTATATTGTTGTGAGTCTGGTATATTGTTGTGAGGCTGGTATATTGTTGTGAGGGTGGTATATTAGGGTGTCATACGGAGGCGAATTTTTTTTTTTTTAGTTTGAAAAATCGGCCCATGGTATTAATGATGTAGTTCTATGTGCAGAATCATGTGATATCTTCAGATTTGAAAAGTTTTTATTTTTTGCTAGGTAAATTTTAACTTGAAATCTTATGAAAATTGAGTATTCCCACCCATTTACCAACACCACTAAATAGCTTATTTAAAGTAAAGTAAATGTATCAGGTTAATTTATTAGGATGAAAATGATCCAGAATAGTGAAACGAATGATCTTGACACATTTATTAAATTTAATATTCCTTTAGAAAACAAAATCATCAAATACAAAAACCGGTTTTACTACTACGACCCGGTGTTGCTGCACACCATAGAGAACATGTCTTTCTTGCTTCTGTTTCTACTCATCACCTCCCTGCTGACCACCTGAGCTCGGATGTAGCCTTCCCTCCTCTCCTGGCTGTACACGTGACTACTGGCCTCGCTCACTTGCTGTACACAACGCTCTATACTCTGGGTGTGCGAGGGCCTGGCAGGGACATGCATGGGGTTGTCCAGGAAAGCTCTGACTTGAACATTGGTGAGGCTGCAGGTAAGAGGGGGCTCACTGCCAGCCTGGATGTTATCCAGATCTATGAGATCAGTGAGGGTCTTGGCACCTAGATTGACTTCAGGAGTCTTCCTGACCCTGAAGGAATCGTCACCAACTGATTCGTCATGCCCAATCCTCTTATAAGTCTCATATCCAAGATCTTTTTGACTGCCACTCTTCTCTCCTCCTCATCCTTACTGCAGAGCATTGTCTGCAGAACTGCCTCGGGATGAGCATACCAGGAAGATCTCCTCACAGTCTGCTCCACAATCTGAACAACCTTCCTTGGCTGACTCCTCAGGAGCTCAAGCTGGAAGAGAACATGCCTCGGACCTTCGGAGAACGATGACTTGACCTTGGTGTTGAACCAATTTGACAAGTAGACACTCACGATGAATTGGACAATAAGTCTCAGGTTGTGAAGCTGGTTCCCTTTCAGTTTATGATGAGCGACCCAAATTCTGCAGAACCTGAGAGCCGTTGTGAGCCACCTAGAATGTGAGACTGGACCTATCTGCAGGTAAGCAAGTCTATCAGGCATAACCCCAGTTTTGATGGCACTGCAAATCATGTAACCATAGTACTGGTCAGTACTCAGGTCGTCAATGACAGTATGTGCAAGCTCAACGAGTGGAGGGCCAACTGTGGTTTTTTCAAAGCTCGGATTTATTTCTAACTCAGTGGCAGAGTCCAGTATCTTGCCAAGAGGACCAGAGCATCTGTTGTTTGAAAGAGTCTTGCCATCCAGCTCCTGGATCAGATGTCTGAGTGGCAACTCGTTGGTGTGGAGGTCACAAACAATCCAGACCAGCTTCCTCCCAATCTTCCGCTCTATCCACTGTATGACCCCCCCTTGCCACCCTGTGTTCGTGTTGGTGCTGTCCCTCCAATGGCCTGCAGGGTCTGGTCTACGTTCCTCTCTGAGCCAGTTCACAATGTTATCTGCCACTATCTCAGCTGGTTTCCTGATGTCATCTTTCTCTGGAGTGAAATGCCACAAATACTTCCCTCCTGGTTCACTGCAGCAGGAGGTAGTGTTCCTCCTTCACCATGGCAGGGAACAGCATTCAAAAGAATCTCCTTTCATGAACTGCTTTAGTGTCATCCTTTTCATCAAAGAACAAACAATTGATTCCATTTTCTCTTATCCCCTTATCAAACTCCTCTTCTAGGTTACTGACAAGTTTCTCCTGAGCTCTCCTTACTTTGTTATGATCTATCATCAGGTGAACATCATCAGGTGTTATCAAACCACCGTCAATCCAGGCAGCTGTTGCTATCTCTGCAGTTTCTCTGAGACCAGTGTGGTGTCGCATGCTGGCCAGAGCTATGCTCGGGATATCTTTCCTATTTCGAATGTTATGCCTGGAAAGTTTGGGATCATTATTTTCTGGGTTAGGGACAAAGTCACCATTCTTCTGGTCAGCACTCGGATCAGCCATGGGGAAGTCATTAAACTCTGAATCAGCTTGACTCCAATCATCGGCCTTTTTTTACCTCACCCTGGGCCTTCTCAAGTCTCTTTTCCTCGGCAACTCTTCTCCTCTTCTGTCTCTCTGTGGCAGCCTCCTGTCTCTTGGACTCCGGAATATCTTGGCTAGAAATCATGAGAGCCCCTATACTGCCAGTCTTCTCTCTCTGTGCTTTGACAAATGCCAGTTCGATCACAGGAATCTTCAGTTCACGCTTGCAAATACAGGAGATGTGGGCCTCGGATTTACAGTCACGATCGCATCCAAACTCAGGACAGAGAACAATTGGGCACTTGCAAGTAATTATGTCAAATAACTGGTCCAGTTGCTTGGCAAAGCTGTCCTTAACTGCAAGTTTTCCTCTCCCAAGAGAGATATCTCTTGCCTTTTCCCAACTGGCTAGCAGTCTCTCACTAATCTTCTTCTGACTTGTTATGACTGGAGGCTTGAACTGAGCGTTAGCCAGAGTGTACTGTGCCAAGACAGCTTTGGTCATATCACTGGCAATGTCTTTGTTTGTGTAAGTTCTTTGGTTCTTTTCACTGATTTGCCTGATTAAAACACCGTATCTCAAAGCATCTCTCAATGTAGGCAACTCCGACTTCAGGAGCTCTCTCCCAGACCCAAGATAGTGACGAGATGGCTGGATTTTGGTTCCTCGTCCTGACACAAGCAGCCATCGCAAATATTATCAACTTATAAATGCATCAGAATCTGAAACAGAAAAAAATATTGTTAGTTGGGTTGTTAAAGAATGAAGTCAGGAAGCAATGTTCACTATTTAATTGTAATGCACTAATGCAGCTGTACGTTAGATTTTCGATAAATTTCACGCTAAAATTTACCTAGCAAAAGGTTGCAAAATATTGAAACTGAAATTATTTTCTGTTTATATACACTAAAATCTACCAAAAAAGTGATGGGCCATTAGTTTTAGATCTTCCTATGAGACACACACTCTAGTGGGTATAGTATTGTTGTGAAGCTGATATATTGTTGTGGAGGCTGGTATATTGTTGGGGGCTGTTATATTTAAGCAGTAGGGCTGATATATTGTTGTGAGGCTGTATATTGTTGTGAGGCTGGTATATTGTTGTGAGGCTGGTATATTGTTGTGAGGCTGTATATTGTTGTGAGGCTGGTATATTGTTGTGAGGCTGATATATTATTGTGAGGCTAGTATATTGTTGTTAGGCTGGTATATTTTTGTGAGGCTAGTATATTGTTGTGAGGCTGGATACTTGGTGAGGCTAGATATTGTTGTGAGGCTTGGTATATTGTTGTGAGGCTGATATATTATTGGGGAGGCTAGTTGTTGTTAGGCTGGTATATTGTTGTGAGGCTAGTATATTGTTGTTAGGCTGGTATATTTTTGTGAGGCTAGTATAGTTGTGAGGCTGATATATTTCTTGTGAGGCTGGTATATTGTTGTTAGGCTGGTATATTTTTGTGAGACTAGTATATTGTTGTGAGGCTGATATATTCTTGTGAGGCTGGTATATTGTTGTGAGGCTGGTTTATTGTTGTAGGCTGGTATATTGTTGTGAAGCTCGTATATTGTTGTGAGGCTGATTTATTATTATTAGGCTAGTATATTGTGTTAGTCATATTTGAGAGGCTTGTATATTGTTGTGAGGCTGATAATTTTTTGTGAGGCTGGTGTATATTGTTGTTAGGGCTGGTATATTGTTGTGAGGCTAGTATATTGTTGTGCTGGTATATTGTTGTTAGGCTGGTATATTGTTGTGAGGCTGGTATATTGTTGTGAGGCTGGTATATTGTTGTGAGGCTATATTGTTGTGAGGCTGGTATATTGTTGTGAGGCTGGTATTTGTTGTGAGGCTGATATATTTTGTGGAGGCTAGTATATTGTTGTTAGGCTGGTATTGTTGTGAGGCTGGTATATTGTTGTGAAGCTTGTATATTGTTGTGAGGCTGATTTTATTGTGAGGCTAGTATATTGTTGTTAGGCTGGTATATTTTTGTGAGGCTGGTATATTGTTGTGAGGCTGGTATATTTTTGTGAGGCTGGTATATTGTTGTGAGGCTGATTTATTATTGTGAGGCTAGTATATTGTTGTTAGGCTGGTATATTTTTGTGAGGCTGGTATATTTTTGTGAGGCTTGTATATTGTTGTGAGGCTGGTATATTGTTGTGAGGCTGGTATTTTGTTGTGAAGGTGGTAGTAGGTAGTAGGCACCTACCAAACAGGGAGGTACTACCGCCTGGGAAGATATTGGAAACATAATGTGTTGTCTAATGGTAGACCCTGCTGCCATATGGCAACTAAAAATTGTGACCAAGTCCCAGGATGCTGATCTGACTTTCTGCCTCATTTGTACACAATTGCAGGGTCTCAATTGTTTCTCTCATATTGACAACACAGCATACACATATCGTTTCTCACTAATGATCTTTTTTTTTTAATTTCCTTATGGTTCCATATTATCATCATTATTATTATTAGTATTATTAGTATTATTAGTATTATTAGTAGTATTATTATTATTATTATTATTATTATTATTATTATTATTATTATTATTATTATTATTATTATTATTATTATTATTATTATTATTATTATTATTATTATTATTATTATTATTATTATTATTATTATTATTATTATTATTATTATTATTATTATTATTATTATTATTATTATTATTATTATTATTATTATTATTATTATTATTATTATTATTATTATTACTTATTATTATTATTATTATTATTATTATTATTATTATTATTATTATTATTATTATTATTATTATTATTATATTATTATTATTATTATTATTATTATTATTATTATTATTATTATTATTATTATTATTATTATTATTATTATTATTATTATTATTATTATTATTATTATTATTATTATTATTATTATTATTATTATTATTATTATAATTATTATTATTATTATTATATTTTCCTTTGAGCTGATGTGGGTGAGTGGGCCGCAATGCCCGGGTGGGATAATACCCGTAAAACAAAATATACTCTATTGTTGTGGGGCTAATTGCTATTGTTGTGAGGCTGGTATATTGTTGTGAGGCAGTATATTGTTGTGAGGCTGGTATATTGTTGTGAAATACGGTATATTGTTGTGAGGCTGGTATATTGTTTGTCGAGGCTGGTATATTGTTGTGAGGCTGGTATATTGTTGTGAGGTTGGTATATTGTTGTGGTTGGTATATTGTTGTGAGGCTGGTATATTGTTGTGAGGCTGGTGTATGTGTTGTGAGGCTGGTATATTGTTGTGAGGCTGGTATATTGTTGAGGCTGGTATATTGTTGTGGTTGGTATATTGTTGTGAGGCTGGTATATTGTTGTGAGGCTGGTGCTCTATTGTTGTGAAGGCTGGGTATATTGATGTGAGCTGGTATATTGTTGTGAGGCTGGTATATTGTTGTGAGGCTGGTATATTGATGTGAGGCTGGTATATTGTTGTGAGGCACGTATATTGATGTGAGGCTGGTATATTTTTCTGAGGCAGTTATCTTGTTGTGGGGCTGGTATATTGTTGTAATGCTGGTATATTATTGTGAGGCTGGTATATTGTTGTGAGGCTGGTATATTGGTGTGAGGCTGGTATATTTTTGTGAGGCTGGTATATTTTTCTGAGGCTATTATCTTGTTGTGAGGCTGGTATATTGTTGTGGGGCTGGTATATTGTTGTGAGGCTGGTATATTGTTGTGAGGCTGGTATATTGATGTGAGGCTGGTATATTTTTCTGAGGCAGTTATCTTGTTGTGGGGCTGGTATATTGTTGTAATGCTGGTATATTATTGTGAGGCTGGTATATTGTTGTGAGGCTGGTATATTGTTGTGAGGCTGGTATATTTTTGTGAGGCTGGTATATTTTTCTGAGGCTGTTATCTTGTTGTGAGGCTGGTATATTGTTGTGAGGTTGGTATATTGTTGTGAGGCTGGTATATTGTTGTGAGGCTGGTATATTGATGTGAGGCTGGTATATTGTTGTGAGGTTGGTATATTGTGTGAGGCTGGTATATTGTTGTGAGGTTGGTATATTGTTGTGAGGTTGGTATATTGTTGTGAGGCTGGTATATTGTTGTGAAGCTGATATATTGTTGTGAGGCTGGTATATTGTTGTGGGGCTGTTATATTGTTGTTAGGCTGATATATTGTTGTGAGGCTGGTATATTGTTGTGAGGCTGGTATATTGTTGTGAGGCTGGTATATTGTTGTGAGGCTGGTATATTGTTGTGAGGCTGGTATATTGTTGTGAGGCTGATATATTATTGTGAGGCTAGTATATTGTTGTTAGGCTGGTATATTTTTGTGAGGCTAGTATATTGTTGTGAGGCTGGTATATTGTTGTGAGGCTGGTATATTGTTGTGAGGCTGGTATATTGTTGTGAGGCTGGTATATTGTTGTAATGCTGCTATATTGTTGTGAGGCTGGTATATTGTTGTGAGGTTGGTATATTGTTGTGAGGCTGGTATATTGTTGTGAGGCTGGTATATTGTTGTGAGGCTGGTATATTGTTGTAATGCTGCTATATTGTTGTGAGGCTTGTATATTGTTGTGAGTCTGGTATATGGTTGTGAGTATGGTATATTGTTTTGAGTCTGCTATAAAGTGTAATTTTTTGGTAAGTGGATGCGAGTCTTGTAGCTTATATAGATGTTAATTTTGTATATAGTTGTGAGTTTCTTTTATAGTTTTAAGTTATTTATGCTAGTTAGTCTGAGGAATGGTTATGTTGCTGATATAATTAGCAAACAACGAAATAAACGTGTACATCTTTTAGTATAACAGAAATTTTATTCATCATTTGTTTTTGAGATTTACTTAAGAAAGGGGGTGAGGCGAGCGAATGAACTGGTTAACTGAGCCGATAATATTATAGCATATAAGATATAAGACTTACCGAAATGAAAACTACGAGGATGTTTAGATTTCCGTTTAAAAATATTATTTGTACGTTTTATTGGAGAGCTGGAAACCTTGCAATATAATATTACTACCGTAAAGAAAATTGTATCAAACAACTCATGCCTACTTACTGACAGTAATTTTGCACACATAGTAGTTTTCACTGGAGCAGGGCATGTCATTCCACTTGCCAGCGTATATGTAGTCGACTGTCCTCTTCTGATGGTTAGAAAAACATTTTATTATCACAAACATGTTATCTTTTACGAAATTTATGGGTCTCGGAATTTTCTATTAATTTTAAATTCTCACGAATATATCGATTAAACCCTGCAAGGCAAATTTTCCTTGCTAATATATTTTTCATAAAATACTTTGAAAAAGAGTAGATTAAAATCAATTCTGTTCAAAACTCAGAAACACACAACTAGCGAGCGCAGTTACGATGGTTCTGCCAAGATATATTAGTTTAAAAAACTACAGGCTGATGTTCCAGTCATCCCTTGTTATGTAACTAATCATAGAATTTCTTCTAAACTATTCAAGAAGTAGAAATCGGAATTTAGAAATCGGGGAGAGTCAACTACTATAATCCACTCAAGGAATGGAATACTTGGCTTGTTGTCTCGACAAGATACTGTGATAGGTTTTTCCCCTGAAAATTTTGAAACCTCCACTATGATTTTGTTAAATTACAGCCAGCTATTTTGCTGTACAGTGGTTTCAAAGAAATGATCCATGACGCTTTTAGCAGCAATAACATAACGATAACCCTCATATGCTTTTTGAAGTATGTTTCGCTTTATCCTATGGATTTCAGCCCTGCTGAGATGACGTCACTTCTATAACCTATTAGATTTTCTAACAATTTCAGCAGTGCCAAGAATATTTAAAGATGAAATAATGATAACTGGTGCCAAGGGAGTGGAGCGCACTTGGGGAAAAAAAATTGGTTCCGGGACCCCTCTAGATACACACCATGAACCCAATACTGGTCTTTCAAAACACTTTTTCTGCACATAACATCTATGAAAGTTACTCTCAATTAAATATTTGTACCTTAGTTATTTAAGGTGAATAATAAAACAAAAAAGAGCCCTTAAATAAGAAGAATAAACATTTTCTTGCCATTGTCCAGCCAGACTCTTATCTCCTTCTTGCGTGCCAGGGTCATAGACTTCACTCTTCTGTCTGGCTGGGAAGGTGCTGGAGTCCCAACAGCCATGGTAGCTGTCGTAGCCAAAAATACCTCAAAAATACAGGAAAAGGCAAGCCGCTCTAGTGTCTTGAGGAGAGGATGACTGTGAATGGCGTCCACGTCGTTGGTGACGCCACGGCCACCTTATTCGTTGGTAGTGGCCACTTAGCTAATCAACAGCCAGCTCCTTTGCTTACATCCTCTCTCTCTCTCTCCTCTCTCCCTCCCTCACTCGGCCGTGCCACGTATGGAAGTTTATGCATGAGTACTTGGGACCCCCGCGTTACTTTAGAATTTGAATTGCATGGCATTGATGCGCATAGTTGGATTCCGCGCAGCTAAAATCCGCGTATATATACATAGTTTACACATGCAGTATGGTTTCATGTCTTGGCAAGATTTACAATTACAGTTAATTTGAAGATTCCATCGAGATCCTTAGATAAGGGAAGAGATCCCAGTATAGTCCAATAGAAATTGACACAAAAATGGCTGAACCTGGACGTTGGGTATAACAAACAAATTTTTGTGCCAAGTTCTTCATATTGATGTTTTGGTATTGCAACAGAAATTCAACTCCAATCAACCTTGGGGAAACCTGTGTTTTGACCATTAATACCCGGGGTCTAGAAATGAGGGTAAATTGTTAATTCAGTCTAATGCACTTAATGCAACATTTAATACTAAAAAATATATATAGGAAAATCGGACATGTTAAGCATTTTGGATATTTTTCACAGTTAAAACTCTTGATAGAATTGAAGAAGTGCGTGCTGATCTTCAAGAGGAAATACTCGTAAATAAATGGACGGCAGTGATGATGTAGATGAGACACACATATCTCTCGAAGCAGACAACACTTTGGAACCACAGCTTGGTCTGAATTGACAAACTTGTACAAAGATAGTCTTGCCAAAGACAAATCAGTGAAGGATATTGTTAGCAATAACAGTTTCTGTGCTCTCCACAAACATGTCTTAGATCATAAGAAAAAACAAGACAATTCATGAATTTTGTGTCAGTTGTCAGGCTGTTCATCAGAGCCGAGAGGACTGGAAAATGGACGCTTCGCCTAAAAGCTGCACAGCTGATGCTTCCATTTTTTGCTGCACCAGGACACAACAACTACACAAAATGCTGCCGTCTCTACCTTTAGGATGGTAAAATATTTTGGAGTAGAACATGGTCTGTTATGGGAATCGAACAGTGCCTCATGAGGGCTGGCAAAACCCAGGGTGGACTTATTAATATAATTCACAGAGCGTCGGCCAAGACAAAATGGCTACTCTACGCTCTTTGACAAATAACTTCACTCGCACGTAGTCAGAACAGCGCAAGGATACCACCCAGTATGCCTCAAACGTGATCAGAAGATCCTTCAGACATTTGTAGACTATCTGCAAACTCACAGCCTATTCACTATTCAAGATAATCATGAACTTAGATATATTGCAACAGGGCTAATAGCCGACCAACGGGTTAATGCTGAGGATTCTATTAACATGGCCAGATAATTAATGACCGATTAACAGATCAAATATTGAGAGACATCAATCGAAGGAAATCAGATCAGGCAACAAACTTTTCAGTTATGCGGAAGGCCATCAGATGTCAGGATATCTTCTATAGACCTGTACTACCGTCTGCTTTTCCACTTACTCGTATGGATCTCCAGACCCAAGTGTATTTGCCCATGAGCTGGTAACAGTTTCCCCGGCCTTATTCCACGATGATGAAAGCATAAGAAAATCTTCGAAGTCAGTGCTGGCAAGACATATCATTCAGAGGGATCCAGATATCACTGTGCAAAAAAATTAAACAAAATGCTGCCAGAGTGGTTGATGGATGTGGTATGCTGCATCGCATAACTTGGCCAAAGATCTGTACCATTGCTTCAGTCTGTGATTTATTTGTCTCTGCAGTTACTCGTGAAGCAATTCCTGGAGTACCTGTATGGGTAATCTTTGATAACTATGATGCCATGACAACCAAAGAGCCAGGGCAAAAACGCCGTCGGCTTCAGCATCCATCATTTCCTGATGTAGTAGTTGAAGACAAGAAACATACTCCACAAAACAAGGCAGCTTTCCTTTCCAACAAAACACACACCAAAAAACAAGCACAGTTTGATAAGACTTCCAAGTTTATATCTGGAAAATGCTAGTGTATATGTGAAAGATGCTGAAGATGAAGGGGATGCTGATGTTGTGATAGTCAAAAAGGCCCTTGAGCAGGCACACAGTCAGATACCAGTTCTTGCCAGTGCAGATGATACTAACATTCTGATCATCCTTCTCCATCACGGCAAGTGTACTAGTGTACAAGAAGGTATTTTGAAGAGATCTCTGTATGTGTCTCTTGTTTGCTCAGGCTATGTCTGGTTTTGTCTCAACCTCAGCTTTGAATGGCATGGGTAAGCTCAAACAGCTGAAAGCCTTGCAATCATTACAACAGCTAAGGTCAGATGCGCTTATTTTTGGTGATACAACAGCATCAAAGGAAGAGCTACGAATTGTTGGATAGCAGTTTGTGGAAACTTTGTATAGTGGTCGAGCACTAAAATACGTGTCTGTCGAACGAATGCCTCCAACAAGTCGTGGCATGTACTTCCACAGTCTCAGAGTACATCATCAAGTATCTACCTGGCGACACCTTGGGACAGTGCTCAACAAAGAGGACTATTGTTTTTCAGTGGAATCTGGCCATATTCTTCCAATTATCACAGATAAACCACCAGCACCCTCTGAATTGCTTCGTCATATAAGGTACTCATGTAAGAGCAGTGTTCGATTATGTGTGTCTTCCAGCTGCTCCAAGAAAGGAATTCCCTGTAGTGTTCTCTGTAAATGTGCAGGACAGTGTGAGACCTCTTCGTTTAACTTGGAGGTTAATGACTCTGTGGAGAACATCTTTTTGAGTTCAGATTAAGTACAACATCTTCCTATTTATAGATATACATATTTTGCAAACAAATGTAGTTATAAATTGGTTAACATAACACTAACGATGAACCCATCCAATATTATAAGGCCTGTGTGTACGATATAAATATTTAGTATCCCACACATATCTTCAAGCGGAATAACTACTTATGAAATATAACTTAGTTTGAGTTATTAAAGAGACTGTTTAGTTACCTTTTCATTAAGCTTGTACTATGAGTACACACTATTTACAATCTTTTGAGAGATATGTATTACATACTATTAAACCATTAATAAACTTTCTATATCATGGGAGTTATAGAAATGATAATAATTAATCCATGATTTTCTTTCATATTCTTTGTCGCTATGGTGTCCATCTTGAATTTCATTTAAAAAACATATTTTCACAGGGGTGAATTTGGTTGATTTGGGGGGGGGGGTGTTTGTTTGCATCTATACAAAGCACTTTCACCATACATTTGCTTGTTATACCAAATGCCCGGGTTACTGTCAATTACTACTGAACTAGTAGTTCAGTGACTAAGCACAATATTTGTGCACTTTGGGAAACAAGCACAAGATATGACAGGTATACATTTGACTACTGCAAATAATTCCGGATATAGAAACACTTTGTCAATGCCCCTGTTGGCAGGTGGCGCCACCTATAGGTAAGCATCGCCTTTTTCACACTATTCTTCAATAAAATTACTATAACTTTGTTTCTATTAATAATTTTTGCATTCTGTTTTCAGATATGAGCTACTGGAAACTTGACTGAAATGTGAATTTTATGAAAAACGACATACCGGAGAAAAGTTTGTTGTTTCAAAATTGAAGTTATGGTCAAAATTGTACAAAAACACTTCGAGAAGGAAGACATTTATTCATAAAGGTCAGGGAAGTTTTTCATTTAATAGTGCAATCAATAACATTCTTACAAATTGAAGTTTAACTACTTGAACATCCACCTGCTCACTTGTCTAGTCATACATGAGAAAACAAAACAAATCTCTCTATTATTACTTTACATTCAAGTGGGCACTTGCTCAGTTCATTAAAGGCCTCTGTTACTCGTGCATATAGTTATCAGA